AAGAAGAAGAAGAAGAAGAAGAAGAAGAAGAAGAAGAAGAAGAAGAAAGTGGTTGTTTTAAACACTTACAACCATTATGGCATCCCCATGGCCATGTGATCAAAATTCAGACCCTTGACAACTGATTCATATTTATGACCATTGCAGTGTGCCTGAATCGTGTGATCCCCTTTCCCAAGCTTCTGACAAGCAAGGTCAATGGGGAAACCAGATTTACTTAATAAGCACATTGCTAACTTAACAGTTGTAGTGATTCACTTAACAACAGTGGCAAGCAGGATTATAAAACTCATGTAATAAATGTCTCACTTGACAACAGAAATTTTGGGCTCCATTCTGGCAGTTTGCCCAATGGTGCCATTTGCCAGCTCCGAAGGCACGGCTTTTCTGGGATCCCACCTGGTCTTGATAGATCCCTCTAAGAAAGGTTCTTGATTGTTTGGAATACAACTAGAGAATCTCTAATGCAGGATGAGAAGCTATTTTGTGGACATCGATATCATGAAAGGGGAACACGCACATTCGTATTACAACTGCAGGGTCCTGTGCTTGTGAAACAATTGCACAAAAGATAACATTTCAGACCATTTCTCGCCCTCACTGCAGCTCTTTGGTAAGGAACCTTATCCTTGTACATACTAGACGCTTGTTTTGGATTAGGATGGAGTTTGTGCAACCTTGTCTGGGAGAGACCGGGCAAGTTTCACGAAGAGACTTAATAGGAAGGCCTACCATGGAATCACAGTGTCAAAAGAGTTAAATGCCAGATCAAATGCCAAGGAGAGGTGAGCAAGCAGGGGATTAACCACCCACACAACCCGTAAATTGCAAGGGGTGGAGCTGAAAGGCAGCTTCAGGAAGAAAGAAAAAAAAGCAATCTTTCTGTCCAGGAGGATTTAAGGCTAGCACATACTGTAGATGAATTATGGACTCACTAGGAACAGCCTGTAGCTACATCTATTTTAGGCTAGCATTTCCCAGTTTGTTTTAATGTTGTTCTTTTCTCTAAGCTGGGAGGGGTGTGTGTATATCAGTTAAGCATAGGATTCTCAGTGCCAGGCAGCCGCGGACTGCCCTGGCATGGATTCATTCATTAAGCCACAGTTTCTCAGCCTCATATTGAGGCTTACATGTACCCCCACCCATGCTGCTGAATAGAGCACAGCTGCTCGATGAAAGGATGTTTGTGTTGTGAGGTAATCATTTCAATGCCAGAGTTGGAAGTGACAGCCACAGCACAGGTTTGGTATTGGGCTGTGCAAGTAGCAGGTAAGACGGTACATAGAACATAGTTGGAAGGGATCTTGGAGGTCAGGGGTCCCCAACTCCCAGGCCATGACCTGTATTGGTGGCCTGCTATTGGCCACCACAACCCAATTCCAGGAGTGTGTAAGTCAAGGGTCTCCAAACTTGGCAAGTTTAAGACTTGTGGACTTCAACTCCCAGAATTCCTGAACTAACATGACTGGAGGAGGAATTCTGGGAGTTGAAGTCCACAAGTCTTAAAACTGTCGAGTTTGAAGACCCCTGGTCTAAGTGGTGGGAGAGGACACAGAACCCTCACTTCTCCACCACCCCGCTGCCACTGCTGCCCACCTGTCCCTCAAGCCAGAAAGGTTGGAGACCCCGGTTCTAGTTCAGCCTGCCTGCTCCAGCAGGAGTTCAGATTTATCTTCTTCGTCTTTGCACTCCAACTGTTCTCTGTTTTTATCAGCTCATAATTTCAAATAATGTTAAGACCAAAACTCTCTTCGCCATCACTCCGAAATATTCAGTTTCACATTTTTGCTTAATTTAAATAAAGGTACAATTAGAATTGCAAGAATTCGATGGAATTTCCCTCAGTATCCCTCATGACAAGTCCATGGATATCAGAGCAAGTACCATTTTAGGGCAGGGCAGATTATATATTTTAAAAGCAAAATAATAATTGCGTAGATGCCTATCCAGTTACCCCTCCATTTAAAAATTGTTTACAAAGGAAGAAAATAAAATTCAGTGAAAACCAGTGTGACTAAAGGAATCCAATGGTTGGGTGATCTTTTAGGGTTAAATCATAACTCGCTTTCTGGATTCAGGTGGAGCTGCACAGCTATCTATTGATGTCATCCACAACTTGTAAAACTTTCTGGAATCCGTTAGAAGCACAGAAGACAGAAGAGGGTAAAGCATCATAACAATTAGAAATACCAAGTCTGAGGCCAGTACAAAAAGTGTTGCTAGAGGAATAAGTTCCAAATTTACAATATCTTGCTTTACAAGAAGCTGTTGAATTTTTTCCTTCAAATTCTGCTGTTAGAAAAGAATATGCACCGCTATAACTTTCAATAAAATGGGTTTGATTTTTTTTAAAGCAATTAATTTTCAGTAGTGTGTATAACCCTGGAGATTTTGTTCAGCCTGTCAGTTTTTGTATCAGCGACTGAAAGAAGTTTCAGCAAGCTAAAACTCATCAGAAAACTAGGCATTCAGTTATTGGGCAAGAACAGTTAAGCTTCCAGGTTCTTTATTGGTCGAGTGTGAACTTGCAAAATAAATTCAGTTTGGGGAAATAATTCATGTCTCTGTGATGAAAAAGACCAGAAAACTCAAGTTGAACATTAATCGGCTTTTTTAAAAAAAAAAATGTTTACAGCTGTGTTGCTTTATTATGTTTCAGAATGAAACAAAGCATTTATAGAACATCTCCATTAGAGTAAAAAAAATGACAGGATAATAATATTTGAGGGACCCACAAGAGACGTCAGGTTGGTCAGCAAATTTTGCAGAATTCTTTTTCAAACTGGATGTTGTGCTATACAAACTCATCGTGGTAGGTTCAACACAATGCAAGGCAGGCAGTCTTGTGCAGGGAATGGACTCATGGTATACGTGGAAGAGACCTGCATTGAAAGTTTATCTTGTATCCAATATTTAAACTTGGGCTTGATTCTCATGAAATCTTCTACTCCCACCCCGCCGCCCCCCCACACACTGATACTTCCCCTGATGATATATAATATAGCTTGTATAAACTCTCTGTGCATTATACTTATATTCAATATGTTCATAAACACTCTGTACAGCCGTATATATTCCTTCTATAGATATATATTCTGTATATTCATGGATATTCTGTACATCCATATATAGTTATATATTTTGTATATCTGTATATATATATATTTATACTTCATTGCTGTTTTGCACTTCTGGTTAGATGCTAACTGTATTTCATTGCCTGTGTTCATGTGCAATGACCATAAAGTTGAATCTAATCTAATTTAATTAGGTTTCTTGGGAGAGAGTGAACCTGTCCCTGTCTAGGTATTCCCCACCACACACCCTAAGACAGAATCAGTTTCTGATTGTCCTCTATCTTGTATGGATTGTGTAGATTTGATCATCTTTATCACGGAGAATATTACTAGGGCATAGCTCCATACTTCTGGGCACACTGAGAATATATCTGCTGAACGAAACTCCACACTGGCGACAGGAGGGGCATCCAGCCATTAAAACACTCTGCTAGCTCCATTCAGATGCCCAGTCCTGCTCCGCAAAGGATTATGGGGTCATTAAATAAAGATGATGAGCTATCTATGCTGCTGTTCTATTTCAATAGTGAGGCACTGTTAAACATTATTAAGGAGAAAGCAACAGCATTTCATGCATTCCCTTTTTTTCCAGATCAGAGATGCTAACGATTCAGGTGGAATAATTTATGTGGGCCCACGACTGAATACATTCCATTTTGCCTAGATCTTGGTTGGGGACTTCAGGTTTTCACTATTTTCTCAAACCTGGTATGTTCTGCTGCACAATCTACCTTCTAGGCCTGTTGGACCTTGCTCTCTATCAGCTAGAGCAGGAAGATGGAAATTGCAAAGTATCTGGAGCAGAGGCCTCCAACCTTCATCACATTAAGACTTGTGGACTTCAACTCCCAGAATTCCCCAGCTGGCTGGCTGGGGAATTCTGGGTGTTGAAGTCCACAAGTCTTAAAGTGACCAAGGTTGGAGACCCCTGATCTGGAAGGTAAAAAGGCTTGGGAAATCTGCACTTCTAATATCTTAATGGCCCAGGTTCCTTATGCCATTTAGAGGTCAGAAACACACAACTGAGGACGACTTAAGCAGGCCAGCTTTAAATGTCTTTGACATCCTCTTCCATATCTCTAGCTTGCGAATACTTGATTTTTGTATTGTCTGTTTGTATTCATATCACACACAAGGATCAAATTTATACACAAATTTATTTAAATTTAGTTACTCAATTTAAGTACTCTTTTGGGGATTCTGGGCTAAGGGTAGGGAACAGAAAGGGAGCTTGTCGCCTGTCTGAAATTCTTTCACTTCTCTACTCCCTAATAAAAACAAATTGGACACACAAATGTTATTTTCAGAAATAAAGCTAGGAAAAATCAACCCCTGGGGCCACAGCTGTATTAACTTTTTATTTTATTTAAAACCACATATTGGGTTGGTTGAAGCTGAGGTACAGACAGTGATGAGGTGTCACATCGGGGGGAAAAAAATATCTTCCAAACATCTTGTAAAATTTTAATAAAGGGAGAGAGGGCTTTTGAGTCTGAGTTACGAGGTAGGTAAAAAAAGATATGAATAAGTGCTGTTCTTTTATATGATCATTCTCTCTCCAGCAGTCTGCAGTTTGTTTTTTTTCTGGCTTTCCACATCAATCCCAGGGGGAGACATCATGAGGGGGATTTCTGAGATCAGGAACAGATGTGCAATTGAGTTGGGAGAAACGGGACTCTCCACTACCTTTACAACGCTAAAATCTCCTCAAAGTTACCGCCAAGAAAAAATGAATATCATTTAAAGCTCTTTCAGAAAGAGATGGGAAAATAGTTTTTGCCCCAGAAAGTAAAGAAGGGATTTGCAAACTGAAAAGGACACCTTTTAGTACAAGATTAGCTCCTGTAGAGCAAACAAAAACACCCCGTAGCTCAATTTCATTCAAAGGATACAAGTTTTCCCTTCGTTGTGGTGCCTAATTAAAGGGTGACCAAATTGTGGGAACGACCAAGCCGGTCATTCTAACCCCAAATTGTTGCTGTTCAGGAAGATAAATGCCAAATGTGCATAATGGCGACGGGAGAAAGAGGCAGACCAGGGTTCCTTCGCTATATAAGTTGACCCCGACCTCTGAAATGACAAGTCACGATTTGCAATCAGTTGCAAAGCAGAATCAGGAGGTGCCCTTTGTGCCTGGTATAGTTCAACCTGATGTCTGGATATGTAAGCTATGGTTTAAAGCATGGCTTATAAAAGCCTGAGCCTTTAGGGATGTTAAACATGAGCTTAGTAGTAGTGGGGGGAAAGCAGACAAATAGCTCTAGATTATGATTTCTCTACATCTTGGGAAGCCCCAACATGCCCTGGCTTCTTAACCAACAGCTTACAACTTGACATGTTGCCACCAAAACTCATCTTCGTTACATGTTTTGAAAAATGAGTTTAGCTTCTTTATAGATTCCTCTAGGAAAGGGGTGTCAACAGAGGTGGGATTCAAATTTTTTAACAACTGGTTCTGTGGGCGTGGCTTAGTTGGTGGTCATGGCTTGGTGGTCATGTGACTGGGTGGACATGACTTGGTGGTCATGTTATTGGCTGGGCGTGGCCAACTCAACGTCACTCACATCGGGGCACGCATCTCCTCGCCTGGCCTCTCATGACTGTGTGGATGCTGCAACAGTCGTAAGTGTGAAAAATGGTCATAAGTCACTTTTTTCAGTGCCATTGTAACTTTGAATGGTCACTCCACACAAGCAAAGTGCCAGCAAAGGAGGGGGAAAAAACTCCAGAGACGTTTCTGAGACAGGAAGTCTATTCCTGCCAAGAATGTAATAAGGGTAAACGGAGAGGCAGTTTCTGTAAGCAACACCAGAATATTTCCTTCCTGCCTTCCTTACAGGATTAGGCCAGTAATTTCTTCTAACAACCGGTTCTCTGAACTGCTTAGAATGTTAACAACTGGTTCTAGCAAATAGGTGCGAACTGGTAGAATCCCACCCCTGGGTGTCAATCTCACAGTGTATCACACTTTCCCCCACTTTGCTAAACTGGCAGTGGGCATGGTCAGCACGTGACACATCCGGGCTGTGGGCTGTGAGTTTGATAGCCCTGCTCTAGGATACCTTTTTTTTCCCTCAGGTGCCCTGTATCTGCATTGTACTTTAGTTTCTTTAAATTGTAGCCAGCCTGAACAACAGCTGCTTCCCTCCTTATCCAATTTTGGAAAGTACTCTCTGTTCTGGAGAACCAAACCGAGACCAGTAAATTTAGTCTGCCCTCATAATATGAGAAATTGCCTAGATTAAACCGATATCGATCTCAAGCCGAAGCACAGTCCAATCAGATTATTAGAATTTAACTGGCTGCCAGGAGGACAAAAATGTGGCTATTAAGGGAAGAAAGCATTATCAAGCTCCAGAATTTCCTCTGCTTATTGTCGTTGAACGAGGTGAAGAGGACATGGGAGGAGAGCAGAGGGAGTCTCGGCCTATGTAGCCCCCAAGGAGTCAAAGTAAGACAAGGGGACTCAGCATCACAGAGCCATTTTCAAAGCTGCTGCCATGTTGGGACAGAAAGGGAGGGATGTTTGGAGTTGGATCTCAAATTCAAGATCATTTAGAGTTCATCCTTAAAAATAGCCTGTTTCTGATGTGTGCTGTTTACAAAAGATATTGCAGGACATTCTGGTTGCATACTTCTCTCAGCACATATTTCTAGATCTGCCCAACAGTCCTGTGACTCCTTGCCCTGCCCTCTTTGTTAATGCTGTATCATCTAGACTGGAGCCCTGTGAACATTGTTTCATCCAGCTGGAATTGCAAATTGCTTCACAACAAGTGAGGGCCGCCAAACCTACCCGATCAACTTCGCTCAAGTTGAAGGTTATTCGTTTGAGTGTGGTTTTTCAGAAATCATACTTGATCTATCGCAACATTTCAGGAACCGTTCCAAGCCCAGTTCAAGACTTGGTGCCAAACCTAGACCAATGGGTTCTAACTTTCCATCTTTTTTGAAACCCTACCTGTAGAAAAGGCTACTGTAAACACACACACTCTCGGTTTACATAGGACACTGAAAACTCTTGCTGAATCTAATCATGACCTGGCATGACCCAATAAAGCAGGGTGAAACTTAATTAGCTTCCCATTACAGTTCTGCATTCCAGGAAAAGAGTCATAGGGCAGCCTTTTAGGAGAAATGATCTGCTGTTACAATAACTTGAAGAACCCCTCGAAAAATCTCCAAGGAATTCCAGAGCTCTTTGGATCAAAGTTTGATTCTTCAGATATGGCTGAATTACAACTCCCTGGATAGGCAGCGATGAAGCGGCAGTTCATCCACATTGGGAAGATCACAGATTCCCTACCAGGTAACAGTCAAAATGAAACACAAGGCTCCTGGAAACAAGAAGGTTAGAGGCATGGGTTGTATACATTCTTTCAATTGCCTCCAGAGATTTTGCAGGTATTTGCAATGCTTCAAAGAGAGTGGAGGATAGAAACTGTTGCATTATATGCCATAAGGGTTGATCGTCTTCTGTGATAATCCCCAACTGAAAACACTCAAAGAGATGAAACAACAGCGGAAAGTTTTTAAAAAAAAAAAAAAAAGTCATGGTGACTTTTGGCACTTGAATAAAGCAGGTTCAAGACCACTCTCCATCAGAGCCTGGTTATTTGAGGAACCACCTGTCAAACCTCTGACTAATGACCAATTCAGCACTCCAAAACTTGCATAATTTTGTCATAAAACTGTTTTATTGAGTACATCATATTGGAATGAATGAAAGCAAAACCAACTCTGTTTCCCATGGTTTCAGTATAATTCCAAGAATAGATTCTTCCCTCCCTGATTATCACAGGTCACATTGTCCAATCAGGTGTTCTGGTGTTTCTCTGGCAACTCCCCTTAGCCTCTAGCCTGTTGAGATGACCTTGGTTTCCATGGGACAATGTGTTGTTATTGTCTGGTCTGACATTCCAGACCTCCTCCCCCCACCAATACTATGTGGTGGCTGAGAACTGGAAAGATGGCTGTGGCAGGCCTGGTCCGTTTCGAAGTTGACATCACCCATCTCCAGTGGTTACGGTCCACTCACTACATTTGGCAAAGTAGATGTGTTCTAAGTCTTCTCAATTAAATTTTGTCAACTTTTGGGACCAAAGGAAGCCTTACTTCTCTGTTGCAGCACCTGCCCTCTGGAACAGCATCTCCCTGGAGATATGGACGATTCCCACTGTCCAAGGGTTCCAGAAAACTGTTATGGTAAGACCTGGCTCTCTTCCTAAGACTGAGAAGGATACTTGTAGGCCTCCTGCCAAATCCTTTTTTCTGAATGTCAGGAATAATTCTTTTCATCCAAACAGTGGTTTAGGTGTGTAGTTTAACATATGTATTGAAGTGGATATTTTTAAAGCACCCTGTGTCTTTTTGGACAAGGACAGCCTTTATCAATCAATAATCCTGCTGGACTTTTCTTTTCTCAGAAGGGTAGAGAAGGGGGATTATTGAAATAGACTGGGGACCCTTGAAAACTGAGCTCCATTAATAATTATGGATTATTATCCATTAATAATGGATTAATAATTCACACTTGTATCTGCATCTGTATTGACACCAGAGGTGGTATTCAGCAGGTTTTGACCAGTTCTGGAGAACCAGTAGCGGAAATTTTGAGCAGAGAACTGGCAAATACCACCTCTGACTGGAGACTTTACAGTATCCTTCCCCTGCCAAGCCCACCAAGCCACGCCCACAGAACCGGTAGTAAAAAAATTTGAATCCCACCACTGATCTACATCATCTATACCAGCAGTCCCCAACCTTTGTGGTTTGGCAGGGGGGAGAGAAGATCTAGGCCTTGAGAGTGGAAGGCTGGAGCACATGCGTACATGCTGGCCCGCCATTTTCATGAGTGGGGCGGTGTATGCGCCAGCCCACCATGCATGTGGCCCAGTGTCAAATAAGCCACAGTCCGGTAGTGGCCCATAGCCCAAGGGTTGGGGATCCCTGATCTGAACTACGAAAACTCTTGTGTCCCATAACCTTTAACTAGGTGAAACAGTGCATCATAGTGCAACAGGTTTTGAACTGACTTACAGAAAATGAACCAACTTACAGAAAGGGTCCAAAATCTAGGACTAATAACTCATCCGAGGGAATGAAATTTCCCATAAGGAAACTCAATGAGGAAACCAGCAGTCATTTCCACTTCTGCTGCTTTTTTACCCATTTGCAGTCATCCGGTTCTCTGTTTACGTCAGGAAATATCCCTGAAATAATGACCCAACAGGGCACGGGTTATTTAGTCCAGAAGTCTCTGACCTTTGCCACTTTACAACATGGACTTCAACTCCCAGAGTTCCTCAGCTCTGGGAGTTGAAGTCCACAAGTCTTAAAGTGGCCAAGGTTGGAGATCCCTGATCTAGTGTACCCTTACTTCATCCTCATCTATATTTACCCACCACACATGTATATATAAGCATGTGTACACATATATGCCTATGCACTAGCCGAACCTCTTCATCTGATAGATTCCTCCTGTGGCTGGTTCATGCGATGGTTTGCAAACTTTTCTTCACCACGGGCCTCTTTTGTGGCCATAGATCATAGCCTTGGGCCACCAAGACTTAATTCATGATTTAAAGCACTAGACTGCATCAAGACCCACTATGAAGACATTGTGGCTCCCCAGGGGTCTATGGACCACACATTGAGAACCAGCGCATTAGAGTGATGTTACTACACACACACACCCCAACAGGCTTCTGCTCAACCTGTAGGAAAGAGTTGTCAGTATGAAAGGCAACATGCGTTGAGAGGGGTGAGATTCTACCGGTTTGGATTGGTTCAGGCAAACCGGATGTTAAAGTTACACCTGGTATTTCAACCAACTAGCTGGCCTTGTCCACCCCACCCCTCCCAGGAGTCTCCATGCGCTCCATTTTCGATGGAGGTAAATGCAGGGTTTGCACTGAGGCTCAAGGAGGGGGAAAAAATGGGCTGTCCAGAAATGGGCCTGTTTCCAGCTTCGGGAGGGCCTCCAGAGCCCGGGGGAGGCCATTTTTGCCCTCCCAGAGGCCCGAGAGAAGCCTCCGGATCTTTGGGAGGATGAAAATGGCCTCCCCCAGGCTCTTGAGGACCACCGCAAGCCAGAAACAGGAAGTTCTGGTAGGCCACACCCACCATGGTCACGCCCACCCAGCAACCGGGCAGCAAACTGGTTGCTGGGATTTTTGAATCCCACCCCTGGGGAGAGTTTCCCACCCCTGGGGAGAGCATTTGTGAGGACTAATGACTGCCCTGGCCCTCTTACCCTCTCCATTACTCCCCTGGCAGTGAAAGCCAGTTTTTGTACTTGCTTATTGCCTGTGTGACTCTTTAGCATCTCTCCATGTGAGACTGTTTATATTTTCATGGGGTTTTACCAGGACAGTGTTTCTTTGTGGTTCTGAACTGTTGGCCTGCCTTTCACTGTATTTTCATTTCATTTATACCCTTCAGGAAAACACTCCAGCGAATTTAGATTGCAGGGTGATTAAAGTATTAGTTCCTTCTGCCTTCCTGACATGGATGCCCTCACTTTCCAGCCTCCAGAAATGTTGTTATTGACTGCTCGCAAGCCCAGACTATGGAGGTTGTGGTCACAAGCTTCTGGAAAGCACCAAGGTAGGAAAGGCTTCCAGTAAACTCGGTGCAGTTTTCTCACAGGGATGCATGATAGTCCTTAAAGTAACAAACCCCACAAATAAGCTACTATGAAGGCATGACTTAAAGATGAAGTATGTTGAGAGTAATAAGCTTTCCGCTCAACTGTAAAATAATATTATTCCACTTGGAATTTTAGGAAAGGCGATGATGAGGGAAATCTCTTGATGGCTTTGGAGAAACTGCATATTAAACAGTATATCTTATGAGAAAATGAAGAAAATAATTTTTTAAAATAATTTTTACAACTTATGCTAGCAAAGGGTGTGACTGGAATCACAAGAGGTATCAGGGACTCACCAAGTCTTTTCTTGTCTCCCTCTTTTCTTCCCAGTCTTCATCATTGGAATTTCCCAGCAAAATATGAGATAGTAGCCAGACATGTGATCAGTTAAGCAAATATATATATATATATATCGGAGGGAGATGGGAGAGAACTATAGCCATGTTGCATTGATTGAAAGGAAGCTGAAATCTGATTTGCTTCCTGCCATAACAAACCACAGCTTTATGAAACTCGGTGGCACAGTGGTTAGAGTACAGTACTACAAGCTACTTTTGCTGAGAGTCGGCTGCCTGCAATTTGGCAGTTCAAATCTCATCAGGCTCAAGGTTGACTCAGCCTTCCATCCTTCCGAGCTGGGTAAAACGAGGACCCAAAATTGTTGGGGGCCATAGGCTGACTCTGTAAACTGCTTAGAGGGGACTGCAAAGCATTGTGAAGTGGCATATAAGTCTAAGTGCTATTGCTATTTATGAAGAAATAAAGGGCAAAACAATTCCTTTAGTTTGGGGAATTAAGCATAGACACATCTGCAATTCATAGCCTTACTCTGGATTGAGTAAGTCTTGTCCTCAGCCTTGTCCTACCAACAAACTGAAAATTAAAGATAACTTTGGTAAAAAGCTGCATCAAGGATGGTACTAAGGAAGGGACAAGTAACTTCTGAGCTGAACTGCTAAACTATAACTCCCAACTTCCCTGACCAGCTGACATCCTGGAAGTTGTGATGATGATGATGATGATGACAACATTCAAAGAGCCCCTGGCTTCCAAGATAAGATATAAGATAAGATAAGATAAGATAAGATAAGATAAGATAAGATAAGATAAGATAA